TGCCCCCGCTCCCGTCTGCCCAGGACATTGCTACTTCTCACAGAACTAAGATTATAACCAGGAGTCACTACCTTCTCCAAGGTCCTCATGTGTCCTGCAAAGATGGCTTTGTTTTAGCATTTCACACCCTTACGTGAAAGAGGAAAAAGCCATCCAGACGGACAGACGGGCCGACGGCAGACGGGCAGACGGGCAGATGGGCAGACGGACAGACGGGCAGGCAGACGGCAGACGAACAGACGGCAGACGGGCAGACGGGCAGACGGGCAGACGGCAGACGGGCAGACGGCAGACGGGCAGACGGCAGATGGGCAGACGGCAGACGGGCAGGCAGACGGCAGACGAGCAGACGGACAGACGGCAGACGGGCAGACGGGCTGACGGGCAGACGGCAGACGGGCAGACGGCAGACGGACAGACGGACAGACGGCAGACGGGCAGACGGGCAGACGGCAGACGGGCAGACGGGCAGACAGACGGCTTGCCAGTGCTCATCTCCAGGCGGGCAGGGCTGTGAGCCTGTCTGCAGGGCTTGGAGCTCATCTCACTTCCGGAATCGAGAAAATCACGTTTTTAGAAAACACTGCCACTAGCCCTGTCAATATGCTTTCCTTTAAAAAAATCAGTAGGAGCTTCCTACAACATTCTGCTGGAAAGAATGAGACTTCCTAAACTGCCCTTGGCATTCTTCAAAGGCATTGTTCTGGAGAGAACACCCAGTCCTTGCATTTTTAGGAAATGGGAGTCGGAACTGAGGTTGATCCGATTCCTAGAGAAGCCGGCCAGGCGCAGCCTCGTTCATTCTGAGCTCGCATGAACCTCGTGTGCCCCCCATGACCTGGTGTGCCCCCCATGAACGGGTGTGCTCCCCATGACCTGGTGTGCTCCCCATGAACGGGTGTGCCCCCCATGACCTGGTGTGCCCCCCATGACCTGGTATGCCCCCCATGAACGGGTGTGCTCCCCATGACCTGGTGTGCTCCCCATGAACGGGTGTGCCCCCCATGACCTGGTGTGCCCCCCATGACCTGGTGTGCCCCCCATGAACGGGTGTGCCCCCCATGAACGGGTGTGCTCCCCATGAACCAGGTGTGCTCCCCGTGAGCTGGTGTGCCCCTAGAAGCCTCTGGTCGCCCGCTCTGCCAGCCGGAGCTGCAATCAGGTCTTCATCTACTAAAACTTACATAAAACACACCACAGCAGCCAGCCACCAGCTGCTCTGGAACTTGATGAATAATTTAGAAACAAATTACCCTTTTCCAAATGAGTCCAATAAAGTAAGACTCATTGCAATGCACCCAATGGCTCTCCTCTGTGAGGCGGTGGGGACTCCAGCTGCCGTAATTAGGGCTGCTCACTTCACTAGTCCTAGGCTAAGGAGAATTCAGCTGAATTAAACCCGATCCAGGGAAACTGAGTGCCCCGTGCCCTCCCCCACAGAAGAAAAACTGCAGACAAGCTAACCTCCCCATCCATTTCCATGGGCACCACCCATCAGACCAGAGCTCTTTGCTGCATTATTACCTCGTTAAGAAGTGTGGTTTAAACAGTCCATTTCATTCCATTTGGTGGGAATGGAACTGTTTTAAATCTTCCTATGCAAAGCCCAGGCCACACTAGATCATACTGAAGTAGCTTAAAGCAAGCTGGGTTGGCTGGTTGGAGAAACGGAGGGTTACAGGCTGGAACAGGGGGAGAGCTTACAGCAGTTGCAACAGCTTATTGGACCAAGTGCTCAACAACTGACAGGGACATGTCAAAGGGATGCCAGAGCCAGCTGCAAGGAATTCCCATGGCCAAATCTAGAGCAATCTGAGCATCAAAATGAATGACAGAAGCAAATGATAATGTATTGACTGAAAATGAGTCCGTACTAAAAACTATTTTTAGAAAAGGGAAAAAAGGGAGAGGAAAGTCTTTTCTTTGCAGAAGAACGCCAACTAATAAAGACAGAAAAATCATCGTACCAGAAAATCACGCTTTTACAGCCACCAACCAATAATTGATTCTGGCAGCGACTTATGAGGAATGCAAAAGCTATCAGGTGAAATACTGAGAAACAAGGTATTCACATCGTATTCTAGATGATGTATTAATTATCAAAGCAAAAGATACCTTTACAATGAAGAAATTCAGGAACTCCACCTTAACCAAATGATCAAACTCACTATCAATGAGAAAGAAAGAAAAATGGCATCGTGTGCCCACATGACTCATGTCCTGGCAAATATATTTAGCCTAAATCAAAGTGTGTTGGAAAAACTCAGACAGGTCCATATTGAAATTACCTTTTAAAAATGTTTATATCAGGAAAGACAAAAAAATGGTGGGTGAACTATTAGAGATTAAAGGAGACTGACAGCCAAGGGCAATGCTTGGTCTTTGGCTAGATACTGGTTTGGGGGGGTTGGTTATAAAGGACCATTGGGGAAATTTGAATATGGATTGTACATTGTATAAAAGTATTGTATCAAGGTTAAATTTCCTGACTGCCCACTACATCGGGGATACATAGAATGGCCTTGTTCTTATGAAACACATGCCGAGGTATTTAGGGGCAGAGTGTCATCAAGTCTCCAACTCACGCAAATAGTTCAGCAAGAAAAAGAAAGAACAAGCTGAGAGAGAGAGAAGCAAGCAGGACAAAATGTTAACATTCATTGTATCTAGGTATTCATTGTACTATTCTTACAACTTTTCTGGGGTTTTTAATTTTCAAAACAATAATCTGGAGGAAGAAAAGCAAGCTAGTTGGATTCTCACTTCCTCATTCTATTGTCTTGCTGGAGAGTAAGCTAAGTTCCTTTCAGTTTAATCAGCTAAAATAAATTTACTTTGACTTAAAATTAAAGAAGCACCAATTTCTGGGTCCTTTACCCTCAAGAGCACGAGGTGCACCAGAGTCAAGTCAAAGATCTGACAGCGCCTGGGTCCCCATCCCTGTTGGCATCACCAGCTGGGCTGATGCAGCTGCTCCCTGAGGATGGAGCGTGCTGCCAGGCACCCCCTCTCTATCTCCCTGAGTGTATTCACTCTTGCTTTCATTTCTGTTGTCTGCCTGGTCTCTGGGCATCTCAGGTAGAGACAGAGACAAGGGCCTAACGTCGGGGGCAAGCTCGTTTTGGATCGCACTGGTGTCAGTCGCTGTTCTGCAAACACAGAACCACTCATGCTGACCACAGCTGGGCTCTGAGTGGCTTTTTACAGGTTCACAGAGACACCATCTCTCATGGGTTGAATTGTGTCCCCCCAAAATCCATGTTAAAGTACGAACTCCTAGTACTTCTGAATGTGACTTTATATGGGAAGAGAGTATAGAAAATACAATTTGGTTAAGGTGAGGTCGAACTGGATGTAGAATGGGCCCTAATCAGATATGACCGATGTCCTTATAAAAAAAAAAAGAAAAAGAAACTTAGACACACACAAGCACACAGGGAGAAGAACGTCACATGGAAATAAACCAAAGAATGTATATGCATGGATGCATAACCAATGGACACAGACAGCAGTGCTATGAGGTGGCAGGATCGGGAGACGGGTGTCTATGGGAAATAATGGAGAAATGTCTGTAACAAAAATTAATTCATTTTTTTAAAGAAAGAAGATGCAGGCAGAGATCAGGGGTGATGCATCTGCAAGCCAAGCAATACCAAAAATTGCCAGCAACCGTGAGAAGGTGGGGGAGAAGATGGGACAGATGCTCCCGCATGGACCTCAGAAGGAACCAACCCTGCTGACACCTTGACTTCAGAGAGCTAGCCTCCAGAACAGTGAGATAATGCATTTCTGTTGTTTAAGCCACACACTTACACTTGGCTTTGTCAGCCCCATGACCCGCCAACCTCCAGCGGCTGCTCACATGGTGGAGGGCAGAGTTGACAGGTGAGCAGATGCTAAAGACAGACTGGCAGGGTCACCTCCCACCACTTACTAGCTCTAGGGACATGGGCCAATTCCAGACCATACTGTGTCCCTTTCACCTCATCTTTGCAACAGGAATAGCAGCATCCACTCGGGGGCTGTCACGTAGGTTTATTTGGTTAATACTTGAGAAGTTTAAAACAGTGTCCTTACTTGGCAAATGCTATGTAGTGCTGATTATTATTGTTATTATTGCTATCACCATCATCATCACCTTGCTTTGGCTGTAGCTGTGTTTTGAACTTTGTAAGATCTTCGGTGAAAGAGTTTTCATATGAGGAGAAGCTTTGGACCAAGAGAGCAGCTCTCCCTGGCTTGTCAGCCCCTCTCCCCAGCCAGTTGTATGACCCAAAAGCACAGCACTTCTGCAGGCCTCCCGTCTCTCCCCTCTTTTATAAAGTAAAGATGTCCAAGTCCATCTCCAGCCCCCAACCTCCTTGTTTACTCATTGGCCCCGTGGACTCTGAGCTCAGGCAGGGTCTACGGGCCTCAGGAAGGTGTGTGGTTAGAGTTCTTCATATGCCAAAGTAGATTCTCTTTGGGATCTAAACTTTAAATTTGTGTTATTTAGTCCCGTTAAAAATATACATAGACGTGGTGCTTTTAAATACACTGTGGATTTGCTGGGTACAAAAAAATGAAACCTTTTAATCCCACTAAGATGGGAAGAAACCTGAGAGGACCTGGCCCCCTCCTCAAATCCTAGAAACGCTTTCTTCATATTGGCCCCGGGATGGGATCAAACAGGAGCAAAGAGTAAAAACTGGAGAAAAACATTGAATTCACGTATTGATCTCTGAACTTGATGCTGTTTCATGCTACTAATTGCCAAGATTCTTAATGATTTCGTCGGTAAGTAGAAAAGGGAGAAATACTTGAAGATGGGATTGTAAGATAAAGTGATATTGCAGGGTCATTAAGCTGACACTTGAAGTAATTTGTTTCCATTTCCATGCCTACCTGAAATCAAGGTCACAGTACAATTTTCCTAGACATTGGGATTAAGCAACAGGACGTAGGAAATATAAGCAGTCAATAATAATTTACTTTACATAAAGCAAAACGTCTTCACTTACCCTGATGAGGCGGAACCACCGTGAGATTTACAGTGAGCGCATCTTGGACTTGCAGACCCTTCATGTCAGCCACACAAGTCAACGTCCCATTGCTCTGCGGCGTCAGAACCAGGACGCTCAGGACGCTTTGAAGGCCATCAGGCTCCCAAACGGAGTAATATGCCGAATGACTCGCTGAAACACCGATCTTCCAGGAAAGATCTGGGAGCGGGGCCCAGCCCACCGCATGGCAAGTCACATTGCAGCGTTCGTCCTCCACGACCACAAGGTTTTCACTGGGAATGAGCAACTTCCCCATGACTACAGAAGAAAAGTGAAACATTCTGAAGGAACAACCATGCCTCTCAGTTCCAAGTTTTCTTTCTTTTTTCCTTCAAATCACAATGCATGAGGGCTAACTCCCCAAATCCAAATTGGCTGTGGCTGTAACAGGAAACCTTAATTGGGCTTGCACCTGTGTCTTCTTTGTACTTTCGAGATCCACAGAAGAAGGTGCGATTGCTCATCAGAAAACAGTGCCAGAGAAATGAATAAAAATCAGGATCTAGGGAAGTATAAATTATATGGGAAAGAGAGGACAGATGTGCCTGCCATGGGGGCTAAACTAAAGTTGTCCTGGGAGCTGCCTGGGGGCCAAAGCAAAAAGGGAAATAACTTTTACCTTCTTTTCTTTGTAAGGTAGACACATCTTAATCTCATGGGAAGTCCCTTTGGTCAATCGGATTCTCTTTTTTTTTTGGTGAGGGAATCACGTATTTTTAAACATAATATCCTATGATATGCCTTAAAATATTTTTTCTAGTTAAAATTTAAATCAAAGTCAAATCCAATAGAATTAAAGAAATAACTACCCTCAATCAAATATCAGAATATATTGCTCAGATAAACTAAAAGTTTTTTTATTAAGGGCCCACTCACATGTGCCAGTGTTCACACTGGAAATAACCCATCTGAAAATAACACTGGTGTGTGCCAATGTCACTGAAATCACCTGAGGGCTGGCCCTGGTAAAGACAGCCTTCCTGAAATAGAGATACATTGAAACATTCCAGTTAAGATATTCAAAACTCCCAGCTGCATAATATAACGGAAAGAACACTGGACTAAGAATCAAAACCTCTGCCCTGCCCACAATCCTGGCTTTCCCACAAAGTTGGCATCACCTTGGACAAGTCACTGAAATTTTCAGGCTCTTTTCTACCTGTCGAATGAGATGATTTGACTAGATTAGTGATTTTCAATCCTTATGGTTTTCAAACTTCACACAATTTTACAAGTCAATGAGGACACCAAGGCTTTTTGTTTATGTGGGTTATCTCTATCAAGACTTACCATGTTTAAAATGAGAATTAAATATTTATTTTTAAATATTGAAAAATAACAATAAAAACCCATTATATGGTAATATAGATTAATATATATTTTTTTTAATTTTTCTTTATTGATTTGAGAGAGAGAGGAAGGGAGAGGGAGAGAGAGATAAAAACATCAATGAGAGAGAACACTGATTGGCCGTCTCCTGCATGCCCCCCACTGTGGATCTGGCCCACAACCTGGGCATGTGCCCTGACTGGGAATCAAACCAGCGACCTCTTGGTGCGTGGGTCGATGCTCAGGCACTGAGCCACACCAGCCAGACAGATTAAGATATTTTTATGAAAAATATCTATATCTTAAACAAAAATAAATTAGAAGAGTGATATTGTTTTATATTTATGCAAATCTCTTTACTCTTTGGCTAGATTCTTGTAACTCCTTCTGTATTCAACCTGTTGCAATATATTGCTTCATTCAAATTTGTAAAAAACATCTGACTCATACAGATATATTGTTGAAACAGTGAGAAGCATTTCATAGGCTTTCCTTGGATATTCCTTAATACTACACCAAAACTTGACAAGTAGTGGCTTCTTAAAGGTCAGTTGCACTGTGGAATCTAAATCTCTATAAAGATGTTCATTGTCTGTTATGTTACAATCCATTGCTCCATCTGGCTCTTTGAATGGCTTTTTACCCTTACACTTCAGTCCTTTGGAAATCACTGGTCCACTGAGTTATGCAGACCTCCTCAGTGTGCAGTAGCAAACTCCTTGTGCACACGTGAAAATGAGAGTGGGAATAGCAACTAACATCTTATTTATAATGAAAACAGTCATGACCTCATAGACCACCCTGGGAATACCTGGAATTCCCAGACTACCCTAAACTGGATCCTCTCTGAAATCTCTTCTTGCTCAGAAATGTTACTCCAGCCCTGGCTGGTTTGGCTCAGCAGTTGGAGCATCAGCCTGCGGACCACAGAGTCCCGGGTTCGGTTCCCGTTAGGGGCATGTACCAAAAACAAAAAACAAAAAGAAATGTTACTCCAGTTATTCCTTTCCTGAATAGTCTCTTGGAGTAAGTAGAGCACCTTTGCTAATTCATGGATTACTGCACATGCAACAATGAGAGGGCGCCAGATTGGTCCCTTAAGGCCAAAGGGTTTTGTCTTTGTTCTTTCGGGTTCATTCATTGTTCCATTTGGTTGGAGAGGTTTAAGATGACAGAAACCCAGAGGAATGCTACTGGTTCAGTTAATAACAGAAGAAATTGGCCCTCAAAACACAAGAGGTCTAGAGGTTGTGTATGATTAAATTGGTGGATTGGGCAAATGGAAGCATTTTCTTTTTCTGTGTATATTTGTGATTTAACTTTTCCCATTGGCTTTCATGACACTTGATATTAGGTGATAGCTAGAACATTTTACAAAGATTTTTGAATGACTTAATATGGAGTTAGTAAGTTCTCTTTACTTTTCTCGTTGATAGTTGAGGAGAACAAAATAATCTTTGGATAATTCACTTTCAAGATAACTTGGGTGTTTCCTCTTTCTTCAAGATTCTTTTCCCTTAAAAGAGACCCTATTGTTCACAGAACATTTGTTCCTCAGAGAACAAAGTGCCATTCAGACCGACGGAACCAGGGTAAAATGACAGAGTTCTGTCCCATTCTACAGGGTCCCTCCTCAGGACCTTGGAGAAGACTTGAACTTCCCAAGACACTTGTTCATCTATTTGTTTTAAAACCAAAAGCTACAGCAATCACTAACACCTAGAAATGCATGTCTGAAGATTCTTCATAGATCTATAGCTTTGGGAAGAAGTGCTATAAAGCCACATGGATTTATGAAGTTGATATATGAACATAGCAATAAGTCATGCCCTGGCCGTCTTCTTGATCCAGGAGTGCCCTCCTCCTCTCTCACTTCCCGTGTGGCCAACGTCTACAGACCTCTGAGGCACACCTCAAATGGCACCTTTCCTATGGAGTCCTCGAAGACTGCTGATTCTCTCGCCCCTTCCCCATGTGAGCCCGAGCTCCCCCTGCCCGCGCAGTGGCCAGCATCTGAGCGCGCCACTGCTATTCACGCACGTGCAGTTGTTCGGTTCTGTGCGAGGCTCTGTCTTCCTCTATTGATCTCTGGGCCCCCCTTACATCCTGACACAGTGGCATGCTCCCGCTGGGGATGCAGTAAATAACAGCGAATGACCACCTAGAGAGTGCGGGGGTAGGTGCTGTTCTACAGACTCTACCTAGGCCTACGCGCCTGATCTCACAACCTGATGAGGAACCCGGGCACAGGGTCATGCGCTGGTGCCCACAGTCACACACTCAGTCAGCAGTGAAGCTGGAGCTGGAGCCCAGCAGTCGGCCCGAGCCTGCACTGCTAACCCCTACGAGGCCCCTCCTCCATCATTTCGTCATCTGATCCTCACCGTAAACCTGAGAAGCGGGCAGAGGAGTCTTGTCCCACTTTTATTTATTATTTATTTTTTTTGGGGGGGGGGGTGCGTGCCCCTAGCGGGAACTGAACCCAGGACTCGCTGGTCCACAGGCTAACACTCCAACCGCTGAGCCAAACCAACCAGGGCTTGTCCCAGTTTTAAAGATGAAGAAATTTAGCCAATTCAGGGGTCACCAAGGTGAGTAACTGGTGGAAGAAAAACCAGAACTCATACCTTTGATTCCTTCTCCCGTGTCCTTTCCCGTATACCACAAATTATGGTAATAAGAATCTGGTCAGGCAAACCAGGCCAGTAATCCAGGTAGCTTCACAAAATCACTTAACAGCATAAAATATCATGGTGCCCCTAATTAAACCACGTGAAAGTAAAGACACGTAACGCAAAGATACGATGATTTGGCTAAATTTAAACATGCAGATAGAAATAGGTGGACATGGCCCTGGCCGGTTTGGCTCAGCGGTTAGAGCGTCGGCCTGCGGTCCGGAGAGACCCGGGTTCGGTTCCCGCTAAGGGCATGTGCCTCGGTTGCAGTTTGTCCCCGGCCCTGGTCGGTCGTGTGGGTGGCAGCCACTCGATGTGTTCCTTTCATATCGATGTTTCTCTCTCTCTCTCTGTTCCTCTCTCTCCTTCCCACTCTACCTGAACAGAAAATAGAAAAATGTCCTCAGGTGAGGATAAAAATAAAAAATAAAAAAAAAGAAATAGGTGGACATGTATCTACACCGAATGTCATCCGATTGGATTTCATAGTAGCGTAAATACAGAGGAAATCTTTGGGAATTTCTCCTAGACAAGCACATATATACGTAAGAAAAATCTCAAAGGCAGCGTGTCTGCTGTAAAAAAATGCTGCCGCGCCCCGGCCAGTTTGGCTCAGCGGTTGAGCGTCGGGCTTCGGACCAGAGAGTCCCGGGTTTGCTTCCTGCTAGGGGCACGTATGACACACACACACACACACACACACACACAAATGCTGTCGCATACAGCAGGAGCTCCACTTCCTCCAGTGCATCTGGGAAGCGTGCACAATTGCACTTTTAAGGAATACAAAGTGATGCAACTTGGATAAAGATGCTCTGAATCCTTGTAAATCCTCCTTTTTATTTTATTTTTTTTCACTACGTAGCATGCGCTTCAGCACCTAAAAATTCTTTGAAAACACAAAATAAGTTATCCATTATTACACATTGTGTTTACTCCTTTCTCTAAAACCCTTGACACAGCTTTGTCTGTAAAAACCGCTGGGGGTGGGGAAGAAGAATAAATTCAGGAAATTAAGCTGGAAAAAGGGAAAAGTTAAACACGATTCCAAGTTGATAAAGGTGTCAAAGTGATATAAAGTCAAAACTGATGGAAGGCAGAGAAACAGCGAAGCATATGAAAGACTGGAGACAGGGCGATGACGGTCCTCTCTCTCTCTGAATCAGGGTGACGGCAACTGGCCCAGGGAGACTTCTGGGATGTATTTCCAGAAAAGCTATTAGGTTCCGAAATGGATGAGATGGAAAAGTGACAAAACCTGTCTTTAAGAGTCTTAATCATAGAAATGGAACAAAAAGATACAAGGAGAAAGGGAAAGAGACAGGAAGGAAGTAGAGAGTCAGTGAGGAAGGCGGGAGAGAAATGAACAAATAACAAAACAACACCCGTAAGTTCAGAATACTTCTCAGTGCAACACTAACTGACCTCTAGCCCACACGAGAAAAAAGGATGGGAGAGGGGAGGGAAGTGATAAATAGAACAAAATATTCATCGGCTCAGAATAACTCTAAATGTAAGACCAGCTGAAGGTGTCCCTGTGTCACCATATATGACATGAACTTCACAAGGTCCCTTCCATTTCTGACACTGGCCCCAGCGGAGGCCAGCTCTCCTCTCCAGTTGCCCGCATACACACCTTGGACTGAAAGGAAGGCGGATCCCTCGAGGTTACTGTTCTGCAGCCTGCACTCGATAAGCCCCGCATCGCTGGGTTGCACGTTGTGGATTATCATTTCGGAGATGAAGTTATTGCCTTCCTCATAACTCGCAGAGGTAAAGCGGTCGTTGGTGATGATGGGCTCCTTGGGCGTGACGCTCAGGACCACCATGCCGTTCAGAGCCCACATGATGAGCTTCCAGCCCTGCGACACGGTACAGTTGAAGCTGGCCTCCCAGCCCACCAGCACCGTTGCATTCTTGGGTCCGTCGATGATATTGTAGCTGGATCCAGAAGCTAAAAGACACCAGTTTTCCAAGTAAGTGAATGAATCTATATAGATCACGTGTAGAGTTTAACCCTTCTGCCTACAAGTTGTGACCCCTGAGTGACCGTCCTATGGCTCAGACTCCATGTCTTACTGGTCCCAACACTAGGTCTCCCCAGAAGATCAGGAGCGTGCAGTGGCCAGGAAGTCACTCCCTCCAGCCTGTCCACGTCCCTCCGCTCACTCCATAGCCCTCAGCATCCCAGCTGGATTGGCAGTGAGGGAGCCGTGCTCCTTCTCCACTTCCTGGGGGTTGTGACCTTAAGTACCTGAGCCCAGCGTGGCCCAGAGAGCCCCCACCAGGGAAGTTTTTCAGCTTCACTATCAAATGAGCATTTGTCTTCCCACTGAAATGAAGAGGATCTTCTCCCAGGGTTCAGAGGGGACGGTGGGGTGCCTTGTCCCCACAAGGAGAATGAGGACCTAGGCGTGCTGTGATTGTGGCCCGTGCCTGCTCCCTGAGAGCCCCCACATGGGTGCTTAGGACAGTGTCTGCACCTGGAGGATGACCAAGGGTGCAGGAGAAGGAGCACAGCTGGAGAGAGATGAAAGTCGGGTCCTGGATATACTATCATGGAGCTACAGCAGAGCTGTCGAATCATCGAGAAGACAGTACTGTCATTGGGGCCACACCCTTCCTCCTAAGGACATGACAAGACACAGAGAGGGGTAATGGGTAGAAAGATGCAGGGAGTTGGATGCCTTCATGAGAACATTCAAAGGATGCATTTGGCAGACCCCTCAAAAGTCTCACCACATCCGGTTGAGTTTAAAAGTCAACACTAGAGTGTAAGACCACAGACTCCAGAGCGAGCGGCCTGGCTCACAGGACAACTCATCTCCACTTCTCCAGGCCCCACTCTCCTTGGCTGCACAAAGGGACAGTAGTGCCGCAGTGACTTGTTTCAAGAACCGAAAAGGATGATCCAGGGAAAGCCCTTCACCTGAGCCTCGGGCTCTCAGTGAACAGTCACTACTACGTGACCTGCAGGAAGGGACCGGGTTGACCTGCAAGACCAGCCAAGAAAATCATAGATTGAATAACATGTTTCCATCACACTTGTCACAACACTCTGCCCTGGGCTCACAGATGCTCTGACTCTGGTTTAACCAGGATCACAATGCTGGCTGGCCTTCCCGGACAGCTTCAGAGACTGTCCGGCTCACGGAAGCTCAGTCATGATCCCCCGACATGGAGCATGTTCTGCACGTGAAGAACTCAAGGGATCCTTGGGTCATTTAGGACTGATTTTCTTACCACCCTACAAGAGCGCATTGGTAGCCAGAGTTTCCCCAGACTTTCCCGTGCTTGTAATAACTCAAAGCATGGTGATGGATAAACTTCAAGATCACTTATTCCCACCTTCCACCACCTGTGTTTTGATGCTGGAAAATTGAAGACCAGCAACATCCCAGGACCTCGATCACAGTGGTAGTTCTCAAACCTTCCCGCTCTGCATTCCCCCTCCTGTCCGCCCCTCCCCTCCGATCTCCCTCTGGGTTTATAGCAAAAAGACACCCTGGCAGACCACACACCGAACTTCAGTAGGACTGAGGGATTCCTGATCCCCTGTGGAGTTGCATAATCCCTGTGGGTGGACCAGGCAGCTCGCCATATACATTGAGTGTCCCCAAGTAACTGCAGCCCCCATTCCTTCCAACCTGATAAAGTCAAGTTATAAGACAGGTTCTAAAAGAACTCATTACAGCCCTCAAGTTTTCTGGGAAGAAAGCACACAGCTGGACACACATTAATACGGCAACACCTCACCTGAATACCCAGAATGCACTGTGGGAATGCACCACAAGAACAGGGTGAGGGCAGACAATGAACTAATGCACAGACAGGGTTCGGGGCCGGCAGGACTGGGCGGAGAGGCAGCCAGGGTCAAGGAGGGGGCCGCCAGCTCCAAAGTGACAAAACTGAGGGAAGGTCAGCGGTAACTAGGCTACACCTGTGTTTGGGTAAACACTACCACCCTTCTCTATTCTTCGCTTTGTCTCTGGGCTCTATAGAAAAAAGGGGGAAGTGTCCCTTCAATAACAGCGCACACTGGATGCTCTCCCTACCCCAGGGCAAGTCGCTGTGGTCCAGGATCCCTCTGGTCTGGGATTTCATAGAAAAAGAGCCTGAGGAAGGGCAGGCAGACATGGTTCCCCAGGAAAGCCACAGGTGCTGTGCCAACTGGGCTGTTTCCACGAGCCCTGACCTACACCTGCAGGAGGACAAAAGGAAAGCAGCAGCCAATTCCACGCACGGAGAAAAGACAGACAGACCTGCTCCACAGTCCACAGCGCAGTAGCAGTGCTGTCCCCACTCCTGACTCAGTGGGAACTCCCTGCCAGTGCCCGAGGGGCTGGGGCTGCAGAGCCGGCTGAGACCCGGGCCGGCAGCTGAAGCAGAATAAGCCACAGAAGAACCAGCTGCGGCTGCAGCCCTTCAGCCTGGGGTGGGGTCGATTATCTCACTCCAGACGCCGTTCCCCCCGCGTCTGTCTGTGGGTGCCCTGCGGGCCACGCTGTGCCTAAGAAGCCAGAGAGGCTACACAGCCTACTTTGCAGCTGGGGGGTGAGAGGGAGCCAGGGAGGAGGGACCTGTACCAAAAGGAAACTCGCAGTTTGAACTTGACCTTTAAGTTAAACAGGCGGCACCAAACCCTGGGCACGCAATGGCCCTGACGGTGCACCCAGCAGGCTTTGCTCCCACCACAAGTAAACACCTCTCCAGCTCCTCCTCGTGACTCAGAAGCTGCCCTTCTGGAAATGCACGGTCCCGGAACCTCATTCCTCTCTCTCGTACCCCGTCAGCTGGGGGTGTCCGTGACCCTGTCCCACCAAGAACAAATATAAGCAAACTGTCAATAAGACCTTTACTCAGAGTCACCACCTCACCCAAAGCCTCCCTTTCCCCTTGGCTCTGCCTCTGCCCTTGTAAAGCTAAAGGTAAATGAAGGGCGGGGCCATGGGAAAGATCAATATCCCCTCCCAGGAACCTCCCGTGGCCACCAGCTACCGTGGTCCCCCAACACCAGGTCCCCCCGAGAGGGTTTTACCCACTTGCAAGATTCTCCCTCATGCCAACAGTCTCCAGTTCCCAAATCGCCAGCCTGTCCCTCGCTCTCTCTGCCCACAGTCCTCCAGCACCAGTGTCCCCACATGGGTGGAAAATCTTCTCTTCTACCTCCCGCATCCTGCCGTCAGAACCGAAACTGCTCGAACAGCAGCACGCCTGCAGCTTCTTCGGCCCCACCCTGTCCTCCCCAAATTCATCCTGAACACAAGTCCTGAGATGGCCTTTCCCAGCTCCCGGAAGAGGAGCCAGTTGCCTCCCTGGGGTAGGGACCCCTCTCTTCCTCCACCCGCCTCTTCTCTGGCTCCTCCCACTGCGACTGTCGACCCCTCCTCTCCCACCTGTCAGTTAACATTGGGAGTGAACAGAAAAGCAGACAGTGAAGAGTCGGGAGGAGGCAGGGAAATAGCGTGGCGAGCAGAAAGAGGAGCACTCTGCAGAGGCAGCTCCGAAGGGGGAAGTGGGAGTCCAGACGCCTCAGGGGCTGGGAAAGTAGGAAGGAAAGGGAGAAGCAAGTGAGGGGTCCCGAGATGGGTGTGAGTTCCTGCCTAGTCCTGATGACGATTCAGGAAGCCAGCACCATGGCTGAGCCACCACCACCGCCCACACCTGCTCTCCACGTGGCAGTTCGAGATCTTCTCAACACACCAGTATGATCAGGAGCCCTCCCTGACCCTCCACCTCCACACCCCAGACTCTGTTTAAACATTTCCATCATTTGGGGTAAAGACCAGATAATCCTTAACATGGCCATATCCTAAGACCCTACTTAGTCTCACATCAACTTCATTTTGCCCCAAACTCCACCCTCTTGCTCACCAACACTATTTACCAACTCATTCTGGCCCCAGGGCCTTTGCACAGGCAGTGACCAGCCTGGCATACTAGTCTTACTCCTCAGCTCTCAGCCAAGTTGTCGCCTCCTCGGGGAGCTTCTCAGACCACCTGATTTAGGTTAACTCTAACAGGCTTTCGAAGTGAAGCAATGATCACAGGGACTATTTTATATTGATTTTCTATTTCCTGTTTCCCTACAGCTCTAACTCTCTCAGCAAGGATGATGCCTGCTTTTGCTCATCACTGCATCCAGTGCCTGCGACCAAATGGCACACAACAGGCCCTCAGTGCACACCCCCTGGGTGAACAAATCAGTGGTCGAGTTCCATGTAATCTGTTACACGGGGGACTATGTAGAGAGGAGAGGGCGGGCAGAGCCCATGGGCTGCAGTGGGGGTACCCCTCAGCTATTTAAAGCCAAGTCTACAAACAAAGGTATCTCTACCCCACGAAGCATCCGAGGGGCTGTCTGTCTGTGCTGAGGACTCCATGCCGCAGGGGCTCTGGAATTAGTCCATAATGCTCTCCCCTCCTGGAATCACCGTCCCCAGGCTCAGCCAAAGCCATCCTGCCTTGCAAACAGAGCTTCAGGAAAAGTGTCTGCAAACATCTACGGACCCAGAGTTCATCGGTTCCCAGCAGGCTTCTGGAAGAGCGTTTTGCAACCATGGTCCAAATACGGAGTTGGAGCCACGCCCCTACCGTGTGCTGAGCCCCGGTTGCAGCGGCACAGCTCCTAAGCTCCACAGCAGGGTGGGTTCTCCTCTGCGCTCTGCAGACACATTTTATCAGCACCTACTAAACAGTGGACACTGCATACTACAGGCTTCGGAACACCTGTGCCCAAATACATGTCAACACCACAGCCTTGTCCCCAGAGACTTCACATGTAAATCGCCCAGATTCAAAGGGTATGAACAGTCCTCACTGCATGTAACACATGCTGACGGCCCCTCTTCCAGTTCACTCCATTGGCCAGGGTTTTAAAAAACAGTATCTAGGCGCCGGAAATGGAGCTCATACGTGTATAAAATACAAAACCCGCAGAGCATATCTACTCAGGTGGAAGTCAGAATGAGGTCCCTCTTTTTAAATTTTTTTTTTTTCTGTATTGATTTGAGAGAGAGAGGAAGGGAGGAGAGAGAAATAGAAACATCGATGAGAGAGAACATCGATTGGCTGCCTCCTGCATGCCCCCCACTGGGGATTTGGCCTACAACCAGGCATGTGCCCTGACCGGGAATCGAACTGGCAACCTGCCCATATATGGGCCAACTTTCAACCACTGAGCCACACTGTTTGGGCATCTCTCCCTCTTTTAATATGTTCAGTCTCACACCTTCCAGTATTGTTCTGTGTGTGTTTGTGTGTGTGTTTTCAGTTTGTTTGTCTTTTAATCTTTTTGTTGAGCCTGGGGCTTATATCATGTTGAAGCTGATGTTTTTGATTTTTTCAGGATCTTTTTTTATTTAGTCTGATTGTGCATTACCGTTTTTACTTTTATTTTGTTTTTTTGTTTTTTTACCTTTTTCTTTCTCCCTCTTTTAATTATTTTGGTCTCGTCCCTCCTAGTGTTCTTTGTGGGGGGGGGGGTATGTTTTTCATTTGTCGTTGGGTCTTTTCATCTTTTTGTTGAGGCAGTTGCTTCTATATTTTTGAGGCTGATATTTGTGGGGGAGGCATCCTTTTGGTTTGGTCTGGTTGCTATTGTTTTGTTCTGTCAACTCGTATATAACAGTTGGCATGACATGGTTGACAGGGTCGGGGTTGAGACTCATAGTTAACAACCTCAGGGACTCAGTCTACCTACATACAGACAACAGCAATCAAAACCCAAATTCAGCAGGAGAGCCCACATGCCCACACAAGGGCCATTCCTAGGGCACCCAGCTCAGAAGATCAAGGAGACTACTCCACTGGGTCCCACGAAAAGGCCGCCACACCAAGATTGGGAAGCACTGCAGTCTTATCTGACATACACCAACCTGCCTATGCAGCGCAACGGGCCTCCCCTGGCCCCGAACTACCAGGCTGCTAAAATGGTGAGACAAAGAAACAACCCCAAATGAAAGAAAAGGAGGGATCACCAGAAAAGGAACTACATGAAATAGAGGCATACAGTCTGTCAGATA